GTCCATATATACTCCGCACCCCTCCTAGTTGCTCATGCTTACAAGGGAAGGATGGTAGGTCGAAGTGGCCGTTAAAATGAAATGTATACCACCTGATGCGTCTCCAGACGCTGATTCCAAATCTGCCTTCCAAATCTGCTAAACGACTCTCCGAACGGAGTTATGAAGCGTAATAGCTCAGTGGTGATGGTCCGGGGTGGCAGGTAAAAGCTCGTAGGATCGGTTCCTTTGCAAGTTTGTTGCTTTGCTTTTGTCCGCAACACTTCTAGAGACAAAAGCAAAGCAACCAATTTGCAAAGGAACCGATCCTACGAGCTTTTACCTGCCACCCCGGACCATCACCACTGAGCTATTACGCTTCATAACTCCGTTCGGAGAGTCGTTTAGCAGATTTGGAAGGCAGATTTGGAATCAGCGTCTGGAGACGCATCAGGTGGTATACATTTCATTTCGAACGGCCACTTCGACCTACCATCCTTCCCTTGTTAAGATATAAGCTGATACAGACATACACACTCTAGATGGATGTGGTAGCACCAAAGTGGGCTAGCTCCTTTGGGCCGATGTCAGACTTTGCGAATCGCGCGATTCGCTAGCGTCCGCGGTCGCGTTGCGGTACCAGCCAATTGAGTGATTCACTGGCCGCGACGCGACCGCAGACGCTAGCGAATCGCGCGATTCGCAAAGTCTGACATCGGCCTTACAGGCGTTTGAGCAACGGCACCAACCAAACAGGAGCGATAAGGTGGTGACAACGTGAAAGTAGGTATTGATAGATTGTTATTCGTGTTTGTTAACGACAACGTGGTGATCGAGGAGCACATATGACAACTATAGAATTTCGATATTGCTGCTAGCCTATATGCCCGTGACTAAATTTGTTATAATCACTCATTATCCATACATTTATAAAATTGAATTGAACATGTTGAAGGTAAATCGATGACAAGAAGGTATTCCATACTACAAGTTCTGAAACGACATCACGAAAGTAAGGTTGGTGGCTATGAATTAAAACGATGTCGGTGGCAAAGAACCCAAATCGAAGGGCCTAGTCCTTGGCCGTTACGCTAGATTGGAAAAGGGGAAAGTGAGCTGTTCGGAAACAGATCAGACGAAAGAAAATACAAAGTCAATGTACATCGAGTGCTTGTTGAATACTTAATGCTCTAGTCTTCTAGAAAAATACATGATTTGAATACAACACAAAAAAAACATTTAAGCGACCGGGGAAAATAGCAAGACATAAAACTTCGCATGCGCTGTGAAATAAAAATAATCGTGCAGATTGAAGTAAAATGATTGGTGTGCAGAAACAAAGGCTTTCAATCTTAAGCATTAGCCCACATCTCAAGATCCTCAAGATCCTTGTCATGGTCGACCTTTGCGGGTTTCGCCTTGCTACTCGCTGGGAGGTCCGTGGAAGGCGCATCGGGCAGTACAACAGGCGTTGGTTGAACATCCAACAATTGCTTGTCCAATTCCTCCTAAAAAATGGAATCATTGGGAATCCCTCGTTAAAATATTATTGAAAATTTAAAAAAAAAACTATAGAAAACTTGAATTTTGAATCGCAGTATAGGCAAACGTTGGAAAAAGCAATTACCTGCTCAAGTTGCTCAAGTTCCCTCAAGAGTTCTTCGTCATCAACTGCTCTGTCGAAACCAACAGGATTTGAAATCGCTTCGGCGATTTCATTGGCAACTTCTTGTTGCTCCGCGATGTCTTCCATTAGATCGTGAACCTAAATTTGTCTTTGGAGATGTGAACATATACTACAGGAGCAAAGTGAGTGTAACATTAAACATTACATAAAAAATTCAAACCAGTTCCAGCCTCCAAAAACGTATTTAGTTAGCAAATAGTGTTAAAGATTTGTGAACATACCTGAAATTCGATAGTCTGTAGAACTCCATCAATATGATTGAGTTGTTTTTCGAACTGCTTCTTCCTACCAAGGGCATGGAGTGCGAGTCGTTTATTCTTTGTGCCATGTTTCACTGCCGTTGCCACCTCCTGAAGCCAAACTTGTCAAAACTTCACCAATATAACAAAATATTTGAGAAATGTCTAAATAGCGCATTTACTTATGGATTCCTTCTCTAGCTCTCATCTAGACAAGTAATCAAGCCTGCCATAAGTTTATTTCAGACATTAGTCTTACAGTTTCTATCTACCAACTACCAAAAAACTTCATGATTTTAAACTACTGAAGAGCCTCCAACATATCCTTGCAGCCGAAGAACAACAACCGTAAATAGATTCGCCTACTCAAACACTAGCATTCAGTGAAAGAAAGTGTAGTCCTCAGAAAACCGGGAAGGTTAACTCTTGCCCCAAATTTTTGAGGCTATAACGATCCTTTTACAATCCAATGAATCCGAACTGATACATTCTTTTCTTGACGCAGTCCATCCTGACCAACCCTGTCACTGCGTCTGTAAAACCAATGACATCCGATAGCGTGCCGCGATGTAAAATGCTGCCTATGCCAAATGATAGGCGTGCGACGATTGATCAACGCGTCGCCCTATATCTAACGAGTGAGCGAGTGGTGAGTCAGCAGCTCCGGACTCAGACCAAATCATAAACAGTTATCGAAAGAATAGTCTAATAATGTGTGTTATTGGAATGAAAGCATTGATT